TAAATACCCCAAGTATATGAAATTCCAGGCAGTAACCATTATGGAATTATAACATTTTCTCATTAATTATGCAAATTAAGCTATTAATTACATAATCAATATCTGCCTGTGTTTCTCTCGTTCTCAATTACATATGTCACAAGCTTGAATAGTCCTATAATGTAATGCCGCTGATTTATAGAATTTCCTCATTAATTATGCAAATTACATGCAGATTTGCATAATTGTCACATAATTATATCAAGCGTCACATAAGCTACCTACATACCAAAAATCATGAAGATCCGTCCACCGGTTCTTGAGTTATCCTCTTTTGAATATTTTCAAAGAAATGTGCCTGCAGTTCCTGAGCAAGCTGCTAGGGGGCCCAAACCTACGTCACTTCTTCCCGAGCACAAGGCCTACCTACCATCCAAATTTCGTGACCCTAGCACGTCCAGATCATGAGATATCAAAACCGGAAGTTCAGCTGCAGTACCATTAGAAGCCGCTAGGGGGCCCAAAATCTAATCATTTCGAGGTCTCATCAAGACCCACCCACCTACCAAATATGAAGTCAATCCATTTAAGCCTTCTCAAGTTATCGTGTTTACAGACACACACACACATACACGAACGCCTCTGAAAACATAACCTTCTTGGCGAAGGTAATAACACACATGAATACACACACACACACACACGAATACACACATATACACAAACATACATGTGCAGTCACACATACACACACACACAACACATACATACATACATACATACATACATGTACATGCACACAGCCAGCTGTATAAACAAGACTGGCAATGAAAACATACATTGCCATGGCGACGGTGGTTGCTGTTAGGGTTATTGTTTGCATGGCACTGCCATCATTTCATGATTTTGAGGAAGACTTGGTACTTGGACTTTGGACTTTGGTTAAGTATAGACACCCCTCCCCTGAGTGCATAGTGAACGAGCCCCGGGGTCACATAAAGTAGGACCATCTGGGGCAGACAGGTCTTCAGGGTTCCAGGTATGTGGGCATAGATGTGGGTCAGAGAAATGCCTATGGACATTCCGCATGCCTGTGGACATTCCGCATGCCTGTGGACATTCCGCATGCCTGTGGACATTCCGCATGCCTGTGGACAAAAATGCCTGTACAATTCCAAGAATTCTTATTATATCTATTTAGAAATAGTAGCAATGTCGCCTGTAGAGCAGAATTAGGTAGATTTCCTATAGATACACATATTTGTATATAGATAATGGTCCAAATGGGCACAACCTCACACTCCCTTCAAATGGATGCTCAGAGTCCTCTTACAGCAAAGCCTTCCAACAAATACCCGTAGACGAACTTTATTGCAACCTTGTTAAAGACATACCGGTATTAGATCACAATGGATACTCCTTTTTGTGGCATTCCGAATCAACATTGTGACCCTGAACATGTTGGGGAAATGCTGAGAAGGAGACTTACAGATATACACATGTCCGAAGTTCTTCAGTTTACAAGAGAGAAGTCAAACCCTTCGAATTCAGACATAGTTTTAGCCTCCGGGCATGAATTTGCAATGAACCTCACAATTATTATAAAAGGAGAGAAAGATATACAAGTACCTCTTCAAATGCAGCAGAGTTGAAGACTGTCGATGATACGTAGGGGAAAACGTTCTACACTAATTCAGAAAACTCAACAGCCTACTGCTTACTTCATGAACATCATGGGAGCCATATGAGCTAGATAATGCTGCATGGAAGTGGACAGGGATGTGAGTCAGCATGTGTCTGCTCAGTTGAGAATCTGTACAATTTCCACAATGTCCCAAGGGTTTCCTGGAATTTCACTATGTAGGAATGTGGGCATAGATGTGGGTCACAGACATGCCTGTGGACATTCCATTCCTGTACAATTCCTAGAATTCTTGTGGGCATGATTGTAGGTATGTGAGGAAAGCAGACTGGTTGTGGGGCTGGAAAGATCACTTTGGCTTGGTTTGAGACAGTCATCACAGGTAGGTACAGATTCGCGGCCTGAGTTCAGAGATTACAAGCCTGGTAACCAGTCTCAGCGGGTCAGCGTAGAAGTGTTTTCCGACCCCATCAGGGAAACACGGTGGTCTGTTTCACCACTACAAGGGCTGAGTTTTCAGTTTTGCGTGGTTGTCTAAATGGGGACCTTCCACGTGCTTCTTACGGCCTGGCAACCCTAAGGTAATACAACATCCAATGTATTTATGAATAAAAAGAGCCCTATAGAACACCTGTGTCGATCGTAAAGAAGTAAAAATCTCCCTGTGGTGTTGGAACTGTGGTAGATTTGTATGATTTTAATTTTAGGTGATACTTAGATCTGTTATAAATGACTATGAAATGTACAGGACCTAACGTTAACAATCTATCAAGTTGAATGCCAATATCTGATGTACACAAGATATGTTATATTAAACTACATATAGTGACATGTACCTCACCTATCGAAAATGTACACAACCAATTCTGTAAAAATGTTCTTCGTGTTTTTAGAAATAGTAGCAATGTCGCCTCTACAGCAGAATTAGGTAGATTTCCTTTAGATACAGATATTGGTATATATATATATATATATACTATAATATTTAGTAAACTTCTGGTTATGCTTGGTCTTTGGATGCTCTCCTCTTACAGCAAAGCCTTCCAACAAATACCCGTAGACAAACTTTATTGCAACCTTGTTAAAGACATACCGGTATTAGATCACAATGGATACTCCTTTTTGTGGCATTCCGAATCAACATTGTGACCCTGAACATGTTGGGGAAATGCTGAGAAGGAGACTTACAGATATACACATGTCTTCTTCAGTTTACAAGAGAGAAGTCAAACCCTTCGAATTCAGACATAGTTTTAGCCTCCGGGCATGAATTTGCAATGAACCTCACAATTATTATAAAAGGAGAGAAAGATATACAAGTACCTCTTCAAATGCAGCAGAGTTGAAGACTGTCGATGATACGTAGGGGAAAACGTTCTACACTAATTCAGAAAACACAACAGCCTACTGCTTACTTCATGAACATCATGGGAGCCATATGAGCTAGATAATGCTGCATGGAAGTGGACAGGGATGTGAATCAGCATCTGCTCAGTTGAGAATCTGTACAATTTCCACAATGTCCCAAGGGTTTCCTGGAATTTCACTATGTAGGAATGTGGGCATAGATGTGGGTCAGAGACATGCCTGTGGACATTCCATTCCTGTACAATTCCTAGAATTCTTGCAAACTGCACACAATACTGTACCATTAGAAGAAATGTGGGAAGAATGTAAAACTTCCACTTGAAAGGCATGTGGGTATGTGGGCAAGAATTTAAGACTAAGTAGGAATGTGTCCATAAAAGTGTGCCATCAACATGCCTGTAGACATGCCATGCCTGTGGAAAAAAAATGCCTGTGCAATTCCTAGAATTCTTGCAAACTACACACAATACTGTGCCATTAGGCTCCCCCCTGAGGCGTCGCCAAAAACAATAACAACAGGTGATAACAAAGTAAAAAGTACTGTAAGACATTTTAAGGCATCTGTGTTACCTGACCCAGAACAAATTGCAATAGTCTGTTTATGAACTGCCTTGTCTTTCAAACATTACTCATTCCATCTCAGCATCATCCTCAAAACATGTACAGTGTATGTAAAACCAGATAGCAGTTGTTGTAGTCTCAGAAATCACCAGGCCATTTTGATGTGTACACAAATGTCTCAAGATGTGTGGAAACTCACAAATTAGAAGAAAATTTAAGACTTGAGCACAATTTAATCATCAATGCACCACAAAGGACCATAGCCTTTAGCTAGTTAGCAAGCCTTTGCTTCATGTGAGCCATACATGTACATTGTACTATAAAATCCAACAGACTGTACAGTGTGTTCCCTTGGGCATCTGATACTAAACATGCCACAAAGGTTTTGAATAACATATGCAATGACAATCTACATTTAACAGCACTATGTGCCATCTATGCCAATACCAAACTGCATTTTGAAAGAACTCCAGATTAAGTTATCAATTTGTAGTTTTACTCTGCGCAAAGTGTACATGTAGATACATTTGTACGTGCATGGTATGTTTGGGAGTTTCCTTGATTGCAGTTTTCATGGGTCAGAGCTTAGGTCACGTTGTCTACTTGTCGGTAAGAGAATGAACAAGTCTGACTGGTCTATCATTCACAGATAGCAAAACAAACAAAACCCTTTACCAAATTAAAGGATTTAAGACAACTTAGAGTGTGCTAAGTGTAAAACAATGTGCAATGACACGTATGCACAGCTACAAAGTTAAGGCTTGAACGTGGCGTGCAGTTTTACAATGTAGATGACATTAAAATTGTGTCATTCTGTATCTGTATCTGTATCTGTATAGCCGGTATAACCGCCTTTCGGCGTAACACACCAGCTTGTTGCCCCCCTCCCACTAAGAAAAAGTGATAACCTACAGACTACACAAGCAACCAACTTGAACATTTATGGGTGGCCATATTTTTAAACTGGGGCTTCTGAAATGGACCTGTTTCAATCTGTTATGCTGAAATTACAGGTTATTAACTTTACCTCCTACCAATATAATTACTGGGTGTCATCTCAAATAGTAGACAATGAGGTCTTACAAAGGCGAGTTATAGCCACCAAACTACCAGCATGATGTTTATGAAGTGTTAAACTTACCAACCCTTGCAGCCTTCCAAAAGGTATATTTCTCACCTTTAGTATTGCCAATGACCAAAATTATGCTCCTCGACTACAGGTTATTTTGACACTCGTGAGCATATTTCTTCATGTCATAAGAACTTTCAAGAATAGGCAGTGGTAATGTAATTGTAAAGGCAATGGTAACAAAAAAGGTCCCCTACATCGAAATTCATCAGCAGTTCTCACAGTTAGAAGGTACATGTAAAGAAGTGTGGCTTAGCAGGCATTGAAATTATGTAGTGAACTATGAATGGAAAATTTGGAAGACCTTACAAGACAACTTACCTTGAGGAAGTTGGGGTCTATTCTTGTGGTCTGTCGTGCATCCTCCAAACCTTCTCGGAACTTCCCCAACATGATGTAACAGGCAGCTCGGTTGCTATAGTAACTCGCACATGTCGGGCACAGTTCTGCAAGAATAACAGATAGGGGATACTGCTTAACCAAAATCTACACATCCTTAGTTCACTTACATATACCTGGTCTATGTCTGTGGTTTATTGTGGAAAAACTCTCCTTTAGCTGCCCACCTGTGGGTGACCGCTATTCTTCACAAGAAGTACATAAAACCAATCACAATACATCTACATATAATTAATAAGTTATATTACATCTACTTATAGTGCTGTTTGTTTTTTATTTGTCTAGCTATAGTTTAAAGGTATTCCGATTGCATTCTGTAGCTTTTCAACTAGAAGAAGTAGCATTCATTCAGTTCACAATTCTAAAAATTGATCTTTGCAAAAATGTCTGCCATACCACAAGCCAAGCCTACTGTATTAAATCAGATAAGCACCTACAGATATCATCATTCACACTTAAGTTCAGTTAAACAAAAGAGACAAATCCAAGCCTCTCTGTTGAATTTTTAAACATGATAAACCTCAGTCCTCCATTTTGATGACCTTGGAAAGCACTAAGGCTTCTATAAAGGACAGTGGACAATGACCTTCCAATGTATAAATTCCCTTACATTATTCACTGACAATACTTACATCATTGCATAATATTTACTGTGACATAGACATCTTTTGAAAAAAAGAAAAAAAACTTCTCTGGACCTGTACTCTTAACTAGAGTAATTTGGTGACTCTAATCTAAAGCCCTCTAGCTATGGACCATTCAAACAATTTCTAAGAAGTCAGCTGACTAACTGTCCCAATATGTGGTTTGGTGACACCAGGTTTGGATCAATCACAAAGACAATGGGCTTTTATTCTCAAACTATCTCTTCAAGGACATTCCCATGTGAAATCTGAATAATATATGAGAGTAATGTTCTGATCTGACGATAGATAAAAGACCTGCTGTAGGATGCCTTACTTGTACATGTACATGTAATTACGGAATTACAGTTGTGGCTAATTCTATGTGTTATCAAGTCATAAATATGCCCAAACCCTTCCACAACCTTATAGATTGTCCAAGTGAAGACTATAACCTTGGTTTCAGACAAGGAACATTCATGGACGGAGTGAATCTTTAACTGATTTTTCTTAAAATTTTTCTATTTGCCTATGCATCTATCTCAAAATAAAATATATTTCACTACTTGGTTAACGTTTGTGCATCTTCCCAAAAAAATATTGCAATGCCTCCGTAAAAAAATCTAGTACATGTACCTATAGTATATGCTTAAATGCAAAATCAGCAAGCAACCTTATCAGAAACACTTCAAATGGCAACATGTATATCATGGAAGTGCTCTACAACTAAAAGGTAACTGTTACATGGAACATATTGTTCCTTAGTACACGGGGGTCATGATAATCATAAATGAGTACATGGATATGATAAAGGCTTGAATAATCCAATACTGAAAAAGATTACATATTATGGGAATGACTTCACAAATTACAAATTTCAGACACTGTCTTTTATAACCCAAATGTATTAAGATTTTCCCAAATCCTCAGAGCTTATGGCAATGCACGGCAATGTCATCTGACGGTCATAGCAGTCATCTTATTACACAACTATATCTCAGCCATTTATGATATCCCAGGTAGCAATAACATTAATAAGGAATGATGCAAAGCTACAAAATGTAACCATATTTACAACTCATGCTGTTATTGTGTGTATTTCGAAGGATATGTGGACAAAAAATGTGATCATATTCTTCAAGTTAATGCATTCCATTGCTGTGCAATAAGAAACTAATGGGAGATATTTCTACCTTTTATTACATAACAAGATTACATACCAAATGGGCTCTATATATGGTAGTCTGTGGCTTAAGACACACACACACAAACTCTACCAAAAACATAGCCTTCTTGGTGAAGGTAATAATTAGGTGAGTCTACCATCAAATTAAGTGTAGGTATGATGTTGCACCACAATATCTATGTTGCCCATCCCAATGTAAAGATTGCCCCCTTCTTTTCCTGATCACACGGATGTACAGACAATACCCCGAGGGCATACATGATTCATATGTTAAGACTGTAACCTATCCCATATAACACAGCAACAGTACAGGTCACGTAACAATATAGCCGCTTCCTCAGAATAATATTTCTGTCCAAAATCAAACAAAATAGTACTTTCCAATGTTAGAATTCCCAAAGATTATTTCGATATTCATGTGTATGGATAATTTTTGTGAATCCTGCAAGGAAAGGATGCATGGGAGTACATGTATTACAATGAAAACTAATTGAGTTGTAGGAGTTATTACTCATTCTGAGTGGGAGGGAAATGCCATCACGATTTCCACAGGTAAACTGCAAGGTCAAGATACTGGGGGATGGGGGTGCAAGAATATACAGGGTTATAGCTTAATTATAGTATTGCAACTTGAATAAAGTCTGCTACATATTTTTGGGGTTACCAAACCGAAAGACTACCTAGCATAATCTTATATCTGTAAAAACTAACAGGTATGTATCAGATTTTTAACAGAACCCCCTCCCCTGAAAATGTATGTTCTGAAATCATGTCTATCCAAATATCATATATTAATGTATATAAAATGTTAAAATATCTGCCTCACCTATAGCCTTACTCAATGGCTCCACTGCCTTCTCAAACTGCCTGTGTTTTAGGTAGGTGTGAGCTAGCTGGACGAAAACATCTGTCCGCTTTAAGTCTGCGTAGGACAGTCCGTTGTTCATTCCAACAACATTCACCTGTCCATCGGATTCCTCTGGGAAATCAAAGTCTGGTTCTTGATCCTGATTGTTGATGTATTTTCCATTTTGTGTTTGGTTTTGTTGTTTTCTTGGACTGAAGGTATTGTCTCCAGCATTTTGTGTTTGGTTTTGTTGTTTTCTTGGACTGAAGGTATTGTCTCCAGCATTTTGTGTTTGGTTTTGTTGTTTTCTAGGACTGAAAGTATTGTCTCTGTCATCCCTAGCTTCTTGTACATTAGGATTAAAGCCACTTGGTCTTCCACTGTCACTTCCAACATCCTGGTTTTCATACAGGCTTTGCAAGAACTCAGTAGCTGAGGGTCCCCAGCCTTGCCTGCTATCTGCTTTAAATGTGCGACGAAAGTTACTGCTTCTAGTCCCACTACTGCCTCTATCATCAAGATCCTCTTTCAAGGTTTCACGAAAGACGTTGGTTCTAGTCCCAGTGTTACTGTACCCATCATCCAGATCTTCTTTCAGGTTTTGCCGAAAGAAACTGGTTCTAGTCCCAGTTCTGCTTGTATCTTCTCTATCTCCTTGCCTGAAGTTTTGCCCAAACATACCCGTTCTAGCTCCAGCACTGCTTGCCCTAAAAGTACTGTTCTGACTTGCTGCAAACCCGTATCTAGGCCTGATATCGTCCCCATCATCAAGGTCTTCTTGTAACGTCTGGCGAAAAGTCTGAGTCCCGCTGCTGGTAGCAGCTCGTGGGGACTCTCTTGGTGAGTCATGAAATGGAGGAGTCTGAAAACCACCCCTTGCTGCAGCTTGTGGGGACTCCCTCGGAGAGGACTGAAACAGAGGGGTTCTAATCCCGCTTCTTGTAGCAGCACGTGGGGACTGCCTTGGAGATCCTTGAAATGGAGGGGTTCGAATCCCACCACTTGCCGCAGCTTGCGGAGATTCCCTCGGCGATGTTTGAAACAGAGGGGTTCTAATCCCGCTTCTTGTAGCAGCTCGTGGGGACTGCCTGGGAGATGGTTGAAACGGAGGAGTGCTTCTTGCTGCAGCTCTTGGTGACACCCTCGGAGATGTTTGAAACAGAGGAGTAGTGTCAGGACTGTAGACATTCCTTGCCCTACTGTTCTCAGGCATGTTGGTCTCCTCAGCAATCTTTTGTCTTTCAGCTTGTAAATATGTTCTAATCTTACTACCTTTACTCGGCGAATCCTGGACACTTGATTCAGGTGTGGACTTTCCTGCAGATGTATCACTTTTAGTGGCTGGTTTGGGAGATGCTCTAAGCTGTTCCTCCTTGCTTTGTTCCTCCCGTGCTCTCAGCCTTTCTTCTGTTGAGGTGAATATAAAGGGCCGACTGCTGCCACTGCTTAGGGTACTGGAAGTACTACTGATACTGCTGTTCCTGCTAACACCAGAAGTGCTGTCTGAAACGTTGTCTGGGGACGTGTTGTCGTGCTGGTCGCCAGAAGGTGTGTCTGAAGTGTCCATTTCTTCAGCCTGGCTTTTAGATTCCGACGAGAGCCTTCTGGGTCTGTACAGGTGTGATCCTATCCACCTAGTACGTCCCCCTGCTGACCTGTTACCTAGTTTACCTGGATAAGTGGGGCTATTGTTGGTACTACTGCTTGGCTCCTCGTGGTCTGTACTTCCCACTTCGTCTGCCTTTGTTGTGTGATCCTCTCCTTGATGGTTGTTGAGCTTCTTCTCCTCTGCTTTTAGTCTCAGCTCGGTGAATTTTTCTCGTAGGCTTGGTCTCCGTTTTGCTGTTGGTGCGTCCTTTGTTGTGCCCGTATCTGCATCAGATACCTGCCCTGGGGTGTCTGTTGTAGCGTGGTCCCTGTCCTGGTTGTTGTGTCCTGCGCGTGCTGTGTCTCGTGATGTTTGTGTGGAGAAACCGTTGTGAGAAGGGTTGTGGGTCAGTCCCGTGGACGTACCCGTGTGGGAGGTGTCGGGAGAGCCAACCTTGCCCCCGGGTCCCGGGTCACGTCTCTCCGCTTTCCTGTCGCTTCTGGACGAATCTCCCGCCTGGTCGCCGCCGTTAAAGGCAGGAAGAGAGTTCCCATCCTCACCGGAACTATGTCCATCCCGGACGTCGATTACCGGCATGATGTATATCCCTTCCTTTACGACCTCGAGACAACTCAAAACAAGCGTCTGGACGCACCCTTTGCCCCTGCACAGAACTATGCCCAATTCCCCACGGGCTATGAAGCCCCACAGCTGCACAGACCGGCTTTCCAATTGGCCGAACTAATGCGGAGCTGCTATGCAGATTACAAAGGACTAAGGCGGAGTCAATAACGCGGTAATTGCCGAGAACACGTGGACAGAGAGCTAGGGATCAGCACAAAATGTTGATGTCAACATTCAGTCGCTATATATATTTATATATATATATATATATACAAAACATACTCTGTCATAAAATACCAATAATCTGGCAAAAAATACAAGCCATTTTCTACGACCATTTTCCTGTCTAGACAGAAGTATAATTTACCACAATTGGACAATAATAGTTGCCATGTATAGCATACTAAACCATCCAATAGTAATTTATACTGAAGCAAAGGTCTAGTGTCTAGTCACGTGGAAAATATACCTAAGGCTTCAAACCTATGGTGCATCACACCCCTCATCTCATGCCTGTTTGCACTGCATTTAATAAACTTTGAAGAAATAGTCAACAACAAATTCCTAAACTTCTAGCTCATCTTTCAGACTCAGACAAATACATGACTGTAGATAATGGTACTACAAATGTAAGTTTAATTGTAACACAGCCTGACCAGGGCACTATACCACATAATGCCATGCATACCATTCAGTACTACTTCTTTACAAGTTAATAACTGTGGGATCCAAGGCTGGAACACATACACTATGGACTGTTCGATGATTGACATGGGAAAACTATTTATCAGTAGGACTGATCTTTCAACTGCTAAACCACCAGAGGGTACTTGTGACACATGTATGCTGTATGAAGGATATCATGATGATATATGTATTACAAGGATTACATGTCAACTTACTGTGCAAAGCCCTTGCCTACCATGCTAAAAATTATCCATTGATGTTGACAGATATAGCATTGTAGCCTCCAAATCAGGCATACATGGTGCTATGGTTGGAAACCAAATCTTGCTATTTTTGCCTTCAGAGCCTGGTAGAGGCTAACGACTTTTGAATACAGGCCCTATTCAACAAACTGAATTATTAGAATATTTTATGAAAGGAAATATCAAAGTTGTCGGCCATGTTAACTTCTGTTGTGACTTCTCCTTTTGAGTATATTATATTTTTGCATGTATGAGCATGAGTGTTACAAGCACAGGTGCACATATACTATCCACATAGTTACATATTTCAGTGCAACAATAGGAAACAAATAATTCATACCAAGCCTGCATAAATGCTCTGAACACCACAATTATCAGTGAAAATAGAGCCACACTACTACCGGTAGTACATTGAATGCAATGCAATGAATCAGCAATAAAATTTGGTGTTAACATAACTTTGGAACTGAACGAAACAGAACTATCCAATGAAAGGCTTCAAACTCACCCAGTGCTTGGTTGTACAGGGCCAAAGCTGTTTCATATTTCTGAATCCGTAGCCAACGGTTGGCCTGCACTGTCAATCTTTCCGCTATCTTCTTCTTTCTGTCTTCAGACAGATCGTCTCCTTCTGGCTGTACGTCTTCACTATTTTCTCCCTTGCGCCTTGCCTCAGCCTCCTTGTAAGCTTGTCTAAGAATCTGCGTGGCTAACGCCTTCTTACCATGCAAGACTTCTTTTTTTACAGGCAGGTCGATCGCATATAGAAGCTTTGAATGCAGCATGATGTTTCCAAACTCAAGAAGAAAACAATCTTTTCAAAACCTGCTTGTTGGCAAATTGTTAAGCAATGGCCACATGGGATTAGATGCTCCTAATCTACCAAGTCCTATAATGAGGTCTCAGAGGAGATGGTTCAGGTACTGCTAGTTGTCTTTCTGTCACGTACCCGCCACCTCACCTGTAACTTCACCTGTCTTAAGACACACCTGTAAATAACTTTAGAGCTTCCTTCCCTGAATTTAAACATCAAACAACTGTACTTACAAGGTGTGATAGAACAAATGTGATAAATCCAACACTCAAAGCTTTTACGATACAGGGTACAAAATTTTCATTTAGGAAACGCACCTGTTACAAAGGTACAGACCTTACAGCTTATAAAACATAATCTTTACAAGCACCCTACATGCAAATACAGTTAAAATATTGGCAGATAAATTTGAATCTGCCAATGATTATAATGTTTTCGGCAAGCCTACGACTGCGACCAGCTACTGTAAAATGTAGATAGCCGTTACATTGTATGTACAAGACTTACAAGTGGCCTAGGCAGAAAGCTGTGGGAAGATATGCTCTGCTGGCCAGACCTCCTAACCTTTAGCAGTCTAGAATACATCTAGATGTTATCCTAGACTTGCATGCATAGATAACAGGTGTTGCTACTGACGGTACTGTATAAACAGGATATACAAGAATGCTTTTACTGACTCAGAACAATCTTATGAATGAAGCTGTGACAGTTTAAGCTACCAAATGTAAACATGTAGTCAGACTTTATCAAATCTATATCACATAAAGAAGGTATTGGTTATAACTAATACAGCTTATAGATGCAAGTGGTACTACTTTGCATTTATTCAGGACATATCTCAACTTATAGGTTCACATAACAGTAGGGTTTAAGTAAAATACATGTAACAGGAATGTGGTGTTAAAATGGTTAATCAGTGTAGATCAAGAAATTTGAGTGGCAAATGTCTGAAAATAACTGGACTACATTGAGGTTTCCTTTGTTTATATACAAGATCCCTGTGTAGTATCTTGTTTTAAGTAAACAACTACGACTAAGTACCCTCTGTAAAAACTTCTTTCATTTACGATTTCCACAAAACCCAAACTCTTTGACAAATAACTTTTCTTTTCGAATCTCCCAAAAAACATTTTCTGCATAGTCTCTCACATAGTCCCTCTACAGATTTTAGTACCTACAAGGCAAATTTTTAGGATGTAAGGATTATCTTTTTAACCCAGTTGTTGCACCAAGGTGGATTACCAACACATCCTGTCCCAGGAAGGATTACGTGTTAGAACTGTTTACTCCTTCTTTAAGAGGTAACTGAGCCCTAAGGAATTATGATAAGGATCTTCAGAGAAGACAAAGATTGAAAAGTGTCCTAAAGGTAAAAAATAGATTAACATGCAATTTATCTTTGTCTACAGTTTATGTTATAGTAGTTTCCATGCTGTTGCATATGAAATTTAGCACACAGTCTTACATGCACTTCCTTTCTCTTCATGGTTTGTTTCAACGGTCATATTCAGTAGTAGGAACACTGATATGTTGTTTCCTTGTAATTACGTACATTTTTGTACTATACATTGTGCTAGTTTTCAGACCTCCAAGGAAATGTTTTTTTTCCTGAAAAGATACTTGATATCTACTAAGAAAAGCACATTGTAGATTTTACAGTTTGTGATATAAAACAGCATGCTTATGTCAACACTTTTCATTCCTGCAAAGACCTCAATTTTCTTTTGAATTATGATCCACATATGAACTATTTGTTTCCTGTAGGCATCTGTCCTGGACTCTATTGTAAAGCCCTCTTTCACAATAGTAAGTAAGTAACAATGAACAGCGTAATCTTTACATTTTTGTCCCAAATCCCCTGTAATTACTCTTCTTAAGTAACAACCCTAAGAATAAAACCGAGTGCAGCCTTTCAACTCGTTAAAATGTATGCAGGGCTTGAAATCAGCAGCAAATGAAAACCCACAAATACCTACATGTATATCTAAACACGGTACATGGACCAGTGCAGGTTATGTGCAGGCAGAAATACCTGCACAGCTCCAATTTTACCTGCACTAACCTGCATATGCAGGTGGTATTTCAAGCCCTGGTATGGACTCAATCTATTGTACAGATATTGGCATATGGTTTTGTGGAATGTGTGGAATGCCTGTGCCCTTCATTATGACACACCTTAGACAGGTAGGTGTGAAGGTCATTATGTATGTGTCTGTCGGGTCACCTGGGGGACAGATCAGTAATGATCATGGGGGAGGGAAGCTGATGTATCACAATGCTGGGAAAATTCATTTGTTATGCCAATGGATGGTACAAATGTTTTTACTTGTGGTTTTATATTTGTTGTCAAATTTTAGACACCATCATCATCTATCTTTCCTCATTACCTTTTACCCCTCACCCCCCAAAAATTGGTTAAAATGGAACAACCTCCGATAGGTCAACGAACCATCATTAAGTGGTTGGGGCTGATCCATTTATCTTCTGGTAGGGACTGATAAGATATTTTGGGCTGTTTCATTGAAGTTTTAGGTGGTTAGAATAGACATTTTCTCATATGGTCACAAATTATATAATGACAATCAGATTGCAAAGTATCATCATCATTCATATTTGCTTGTACTAGCTTCAAAATAAATATGCATATCACCTAATCAAATATCTTGCAACCAATTTGCATGCCTGCAGTACCACTTACCTTTGGTAGGAGGCACTCCAACACAACAATTTAGAATTTCCCAACATACATACCTAACTAAGCCAACAATTAGATTGTGCCTAACTCATGCAACAATGGGGTAAAAAGGACATGCGTGACTGGGGGGTTGTCCAGCTATACAGCACCATAATTACCTAATCATATTAATCTGAGGGAAGAATGCTAATAAAAATATTGTGCTATCACAAAGGATCATTCTCAAAAAGGGACACTTGAAAGTTTACATTAACTGAGGGTATGGTATAGTAGTCGCTATCTTATACATGTATAGACATGACTCATTCTTCGTCACTGTATTTCTGAGCCAAGAAAAAGTCAGCTAGAAAATCATATCATAACAAAGTCAATATGCATTACTACTAGATAAACCAGTTACCTTGACTCACACTGCAAAAAGAATGCCTCAAAACCTTAACAAAAATAAACTCAATCCACTGCCTTATAATGATAAATATGCTTTTCCTATAGTGATGTGAATGACAATGTGTCAAATATTATAGGGTGCCTCATGGCACAATACATAAATGGGAAATATAATATAGACATAGTAGTGCAATCAT